CCCTAACTCCGCACACAGTATAAATATATTATATACACATAATAGGTATTATTTATTATTGTATTAATTTATTTATTTTAAATACAATATATTATGTTATTAAAATTAAATAAAAATAATATTTTAGAATAAAAAGGTATCTATAAAATTATATCTATCAATTTGGTTGTCGTTATATAGTTATTTCTTAATTCACTTATTTCACGTTCACTAGCAATCATATTTAAAATTTAAATAAAACTTAATTAAATATATAATATAATAATATATATATATAATTGATAATTTAAGCTAATAAATAAATTAACAATTAACAATTAGCAATTATATTTTAAGCAAACACTCCGAGATCAGAGAACTGAATTCGTCCCGTAAACGTTGGATACTAGGGGAAATAAATATATTGGTTATTAGTTATTACTTATTAGTTATTACCTATAATAATATGTTATCAATTTTATATTATCTGTTTTATGACATGTGGACTTTTGGTGTTTGAAATATTTTTAGAAGTAAACGGAGTAACGGTGCGTTCGTTTTTTCGACCGTGCGGAGAAACGGTGCGTTCGTGTTTTCGACCGTGCGGAGATACGGTGCATGCGGAGTTACGGATTCACAAAATATTTTTATTCATGCGGAGCTACGGTGCGTCCCCGATAAGAAGTTAAGGATTCGAGTGATTCGTTTTATTTGGTCAACCATTTCAGTCATAATTATATATGGACAATTATCTTTTTTCATAATTTAGTCATTACTATATATTTTCACTTGATGATTATTGGATTACATTTTTTAGCCGTTTTCTTGTTTCGATAATCAAAAGTTTGAAGTTTTTATCTAACTGTATAAAAAAAGTTTTAAATGTTTGAATATAACACGACTTATTACTGAGAATCAGTATAATAATAATAATAATAATAATAATAATAATAATAATAGTAATAACAATAATATTAATAATGATAATATTAATTAATAAATGTTACCGATAAAATCTAAAAAAAAATGTGATTCGTATGCACAATGTTTTAAAAATGTAATTTTTAATTAAGAATATTGGTTTATCTAGCAAACGGTGACAGTTTTCTCCATATAATGGCATTGGTCGCCGTCCGTCCTTAGTTGTGCAAGCAGTAGCTTAAATTCTGTGTGTCCAATTAGTTTTAAAATTGTTTTTAGATTCTGAGCGGTGCGATGAATGTATTGATTTTACAATGATGTGTGTTTTATTATTTTATTTTTATTTTTGTGGCTGTCATCATGGTTTGATAGTAAAACTGCTTCGATTTTATTCAACACCTAGTTATTGTCTTGTTCGATGGGAAATTAAATCTAGTTGGTGAATTCTTGAGGTCAAAATTTAAAATTCTCAATAATTTTTAAAAGCGCTGGGAAAAACAACATAAAAATAAAGGAAAAATGGACATTTTTAAACAAAGTCGATTCTCGCCAGATCGATTTTGGTTTTTGACGTAACTCTAAAACAAATGACAGTAGATACATGCAATCAAATTTTATTGGTTGGGTAAAAAATCTTGAAAATTTAATACAAGGCTCTTAATAATATATTGTTACAATGACATTTGGAAATATAGGCAAAATACTTAAAAATTACGAAAATGGGCAAATTACTTTTAGCTAGATATTCATAAAAATGTGAAAATGTAATACAAGATTCCTCATAAGTTTATCTACCTTTATAAAAATAAAAATGTCTACAAGATAGTCAAATTAAATTTTTATGATCTTTTGAAATTCATATTTTAGATTCTGAGCGGAGCAAGGAAGCTAGTGGTTTTACAATGGTGTTTATTTTTTTATTTTTTTATTTTTTATATCCTGTATACAAAATTTCTACCAGGAGGAGTGCTTTGATTTCAACATATAGTACCTTATCTTTTAGCAAATTGGACCAAGATGGTACTTTACAGAGGTCATTTTTCGATTTTCTCAATAGTTATTTTATGCCACGGGAAAAAGTACTGAAAAATTACGAAAAACCGTTTAAAATGGGATTTTAATTTCTAACAATTTGTTTATCACCGTAGCAACGAATAAAAAAAATAATAATAAAATAAATAAAATAATTAATGACAATATAAAATATACAGACTGACAAACCGTCTCCGTTAAGAATCGTTTTTCTTATGCAATGATATTATATCATTGAATTCAAGTTTAATACAATCCATTAAACAATGACCAACTTGTAACCTACTGTACAGCTGAGCGACATCCACTTACCTGCCTTTTTAAGGTTGCATATTCACTATTTCTCATGTAGCGATTTTCTTATTTTGTTGTAATTCAATAACAAACAACTGTAGATACATGAAAGTTTCACTGAATTATTATATTTTATTCTTTTATACACCATACAATTTTGAAAAAAAATTTGACTCATTTTGAGCTGTGAATGGAAAATTTCAAATTTCAAATTTCAATTTTATAAGTTCAATTTTTGTCTACAGTTATCCAATTTGAAATTTTATAATTATTTTGTAGTTAAATTTATAAAATGTTCAACTTTTATAGGTAAGGATTGATAAAAATATAATTCATAAATTACTTATTCAAAATTATTATATCATCAAATACTGAGTAATATCAGACTGACTGACCGTTTTCGCTCAGAATCGTTTTTCTTATACAATTTGATATTATATTATCATTGAATTAAAGTTTAACAGCATCCATAAAAATACAGTGACCCACTTGTAACCTACTGTACAGTAGAGTGACACCTTTTTGCCCACCTTTATTTTGATTATAAATATAGTGAAATACATAGTCATTGTAGTTTTTATACTATTAAATGGTGTAACGTTCTATGAAAATATTCAACGATTCGATTTCCACCACGATGTTCCTGATGCTATTTTCGATTATTATTTATTTATTACATTTCTGTTCTAATGTCGAATACTTAACTCCAAAATATACATTTTATATTCACAGTGCGTATAAATCGCGTCACGACGTGTGGACAAGGCGACATGTAAAAAAAAAAAAACAACCATATCGAATTTTTTCAAGTCACTGTAATATGGGTATAATATCGGCGTCCGACTGCGCAGAAATACCCTTCGGCGTGCGTCCGGTATACGTGGTTATAAACGGCTACGACCTCGGTCACGCGTACACGCACACACCGCATAATATAGCATACAATATCGTACTCCCGGGTTTCGTATACCTAATTAAATGTAAATACGGCGGCGACAAGCAGAAAGTTAGATCGCTAACGCAAACATCTTAGCCGGATATACTCTGGGCGAGAGACCCGCAGTCAATAGAAGTCAATTGACTGCCAACAATATAATGCCGCCGCTGTATTAGAATGAATTGTGTATGACAATGCACATGTATGTTGTGCGATATATAATATTATTGTATTATTATGTCGTGTCCGGCGTGTGTGGTTTTTATTGCCCTAAAAAAATAAAATAAAAATAAAAAACGGAAATGGGGTTGCAGGTGCCCGAAACGACGGTGGAAAATACAAGAAAAGATTATTTTGTAAACTTGTTTGTGGATGAATGTTACATAATAATAAAATATATTGCATTATAAATATAATATAAAATAATATATTATACTTATTCGCATTGTAATACCCACATTAAATCTGAGCAGTAAATGTTATATTTTTGATATAATATGTGCCTGTTGGATGCCTTACGATTTAGCTACAACTTGATCATTGGAGCCACTGAGGTTTACGAGAAATTTCGACAAAACTCATTGATGAATAATATTCATTCTCAACAATTGATTTAGATTGATTATATTTGTTAATATATTTAACATTTTTTATTAGACATAATTTATATTATTTACGTTTTTATGATCACCAAATGGAAGTTAATACCCTGTAGGTAAGTACCTGAATTTTTCGATGATACCAAAAAGCGCAAATATTTTTTTAATAACCCATTCCAAAAGTTCAAAATTGATTTGTGCTTTTGTACCTTAGTAGTGGGATAAAAGAGCAAAAATAAATTGTATTATCTGTTAAAATATTGTACCAGTTGCACTACCTGTATAAGTATTGGTATAACATTTTACGATCCTTATATTAATTATTACTCAAATAGGTATACTGTATTTTTCTATTCCAAAAACAACAGTGATCGAGTTCAGTTAAAATTTAGTCGATAATCATTTACGATAAATATGAAATATTGAATATAAATTATAGTTTACAGTATAAACAGTATGAGTTCAAATGAAATAGGATTTTTAAAAATATTGCTACCTAGCCACCTAGCTATATAATTTTATTGAAAACGGCAAGAAATATTCATTACACCTCTGGGCTTAGCCACCTTCGAATGAACCAATTACTACCAAAAGCCCAAAATAATAACCCCGTCACATGAAACTATGAAAGATCAATTTTTAAAATCCACACACATTAAATTTATAATTTTATCGAAGCAAATAGCAAGCGTAGATGTTTACTTAAAACTATAATCAATGGACGAAAAATGTAAAATGATTTTTACTTGTGGATTATTAAAAAGGGATTTTTTTTTCGCTTGTGTGCTACATAGTTAAGTATAAATAACAAAAAAAGTTTAATGTAATTTTTAAATTTTACTTCAATACCTCATTTCTGTAAGTAGCACCTTCAATAGTTAAAAGTGTAAGACATTAAATCAAAATATCATAGGTATCAATAAATAACAATTTGTTTTTAATATAGGTACTATAGCTTCACTAAATTATTTTATTAATGAAATAGGTTACCTATTACTATTTATACTTATACAGTTTGTTTGATCCTCTAAAGTCTAAAGAAATATATAATAACCATAAAATACTTATATTTTCTGAAGGGATTTCGAAGGAATATAATATTAATTTATAATAAAATATGTTTGGATACTTAACGATGATTCATTTGTTTTATTAAAATTGTAATCGGTTACGTTTGATTAATAGAAAATAATAACATACATCAGAGTCAAAAACAAAACATAAAATTACAATAAGTGTTATGCTCCAACGACTGTTGGTTGGGACATTGCGTTAAGAAGATCGGCATGCATATCATCTATGCTATCTTTGTAATTTTCCAAGTCGTCCATGGTTTTGTAAAGTTTGTGGGGATCTGCGGTTTGATAATTGATTGTAGGCTCAAATTCATTTGTTGCCCAAATATATTTTATAAGTTTTAGGAACAACTTATTTTTGGTCTTGTTAAGTTCATTCCTTGCTCTTTCCACAGCAGAATAATCGACTTTTCCAGCAAAATATTCTCTTTGCATATCGTTCAATGTCTGCGAATCGTCCATCAAGTTCATTCCAACTTCTCCCAAGTCATACAATGCGGCTTTTACTTTCATGTAATCTTGGTCTATTAATGGTTGTATTGATTGTGCATTGCCTTCTAGTACACTATAACTTATGATGGTGACCACCTAAAATTATAAACATATTTTTTTTATATTTGACATTTTGTCTATATATAAAGTAATTAAGGTACCTAGGAATAATTATTGCTAAGTAAATTATTCCTAAAACCTAGTGTAAATTTCTATGATAATAATGTTGATTAAATATTAAAAAAAACTCTATTAGCTAATAAAAACTCATGGGTATTTATTTTTATAGTTGATAACAATTAATTGTTTATGTTGTGTTTTTGTGTAGTGGTAATGTACGCATCTAGGTGCCTAACTATTCTAAAATATGTGACGCGAAATCTATTATATACCTATACATATATTAATACCAAAATTGACATAGGTAGTAAATATCTAATATAAGACACTACAACTAAAGTATTACATTAAATTCTGGTCATTACGTGATCCAACTAAGAAATATTGTTTCAACAATTTTAATCCGTTTCATTATATAAGTGCACTAATAAAATTCAATAATGTTCTCAATGTTTTTTTTTTAATTTTAAAATGTTAGATTTTGTTCTTATTTCTATAACTTGAAATTTAAATGTTGCCTAATTTATATTATCTAAAGGTTTATTATTTTAATTTATATTCTACAAAAAATACATACCACCAAACTGGAAAACATTGCAATTTCCTTGAAAGCCATAATATTTGGTCGGAGCTTCCGCAAGTGTATTAGATATTTATGTCAATTTTAAATGAATAAAATATCCAAATTCCAACCAATATATATACGATTTGTTTTATGTTTGATCTCTCAAATTTGTTGACACAAGTGAAATTCGTGTTATTTTACGAATAAAAAAATGAAAATATTCATGTATGTATAGTAAATATTATTATGACGTTGGTATTTATTTCATTGTTTATACAGGGCTCGTATATATCAGAATAATTCAAAACGCTAACATATTTTGAATGAACTTTTTACATTTTTTTATTTAGTTAAATATTTAATTGTTATCTAGAATTATTATGTAATTTTAAAATATGGTGGTCAAACCTATTACGATAAAATTATAGTATATCAATAGATGTATATATATAGAGAGATAATAGTGTTTAGTTATAGTTAAAAAGTAAACATAATTTAAATATTAAATTTGGAATAATTTTTCTATTACTTGTGATATTGAACATCCTATATAGAAATTTTTGATTTGACTATAATGTAATGACAGTTGATTGAATGTTTTTCTAGGAAATTTAAAATCTTTGTTTAACTGGGTTGTCACATATTAAATTTTAGTAAACAAAAACGTCAATGCAGATATTTTTAAATATACATAATAATACGATAATAATGTGAGCAATATGTTATTATACCTATGGCATGATCCACATGATAATCGAAGTTGTATAAAAATTTATGACAGTTAAATCAGTTATTTATTTATATTTTAGTTAATCAGGAATTTGGATACAGTTTTACTGTATTTGAAACAAAAAACATATTTAATTTTCCAATAAGTCTTTAAATAGTTGTCAAAAAAAACAAATTAAAAGTTTTTTTAAATATTCCTTTCAATTTAGATAAATGTTTTTGAAATTAATAATAAAACGTTATGTTCAACATACAATTAGGTTGAGAGTGGCATAAACCGAGAAAGCTATTAGTTTCACGGTTATGTGTTTTTTTGTTTCAGAGAGCACTTTTTTTTTTGAGTAGGGAAGTGATTAAAAAGACCAAAATCCGGCTTAAAACTGTTTAATGTCCAATTTATAATTATTATTAATTAAACTTTTGTATATTTAAAACTTTCTAATAAAATGGGAATATTCAGTAAAATTATATACATTTTACTGACCTATTGGTGAAAATATTATTATCCCAGGAGGCAGGAATACATTTTTTTTCTTTTTTGAAATATACTGTATAGCTCTAAATTATTTAACCCTTCGTTAGCTTTATTGGGTTTAACCCATGCGATAAGGTTATTATTTATTCTTAATACGATTAGCTGATAATGTACATAATATTTTATTATATGTATTAGTCATTAGAAAAGATTACGTTAGTTTATAATTATTCGTTGACTGGTTATAAATTTCCGAACTCAATGATATCGTAATTTTGCTATTTCACCCCCCAATTCATGTTCCTAGATGGTTAGATTTATATCATGTATGGAACGCTTAGTATGGATACAATATTATTGTAGATTGTAAAAGGTATACTGGGAAATACTCTTTAAGTAAAAATGAAGAATAATACATTTATTTTTCTATTAGTTTGAATTATGAATTTATTGAAACCTCAGAAGTGATTTATTTTTATGTAACACGTAACAAGTCACTGGACGGTTTCTTCAACAAAATGAACGTTTCCTATTACTATTCGTTTAGCATTTCTGCTTATTGACTATTTTACCACCAATGGAACCCTTGTTATAGAACCACCATTAGACCATATGAATAATAAAAATTAATTAATTAAAATATGCATTTTTTCACTTCATTTTTTGTATTGCAATGTTCGATTAATTGTTTATTGATAGTTATAAAGTAAACTGTTTAATATTTATTTTGAATTGTGATTCTAAAAAAAATTTAAGCTATAATTTACTGAGTCAACGATTGAGTCATTGAGTTTTAAATATACGACGAGCAATAAATAAATTTATCACGTTAAAAAAGAAAAATATACATACATATTTTGAAGTGCAGGCAATCATGAAGATACGTTTATTTGTCTTTTACTAACATAACCAAAAAACGTTTCGAATAAACATTTATATGGGTTATGGAACACCAATTTCTTTTTACCCAATGGTAGTTCATGTTATAAATATATCTTAAAATCAAAATTGTCATCACCTGTTAAAAACCATGCATAAAAAAGCGGGTAATTGGATGTCGCTCTGCTGTACAGTAGGTTACAAGTGGGTCATTGTATAATGGATTGTATTAAACTTGAATTCAATGATATAATATAATTGTATAAGAAAAACGATTCTGAGCGGAGACGGTTTGTCAGTCTAGATATTTTATATTGTCATTAATTATTATAATATAATCATGTAAGTTGAATTAATATTACAATATTAATATTTTTTATTTGTTTCTATGGTAATAAACAAAGAGTTAGAAATTAAAATCTAATTTTGAGCGGTTTTTCGTAATTTTTCAGTGGTTTTTACCGTGGCATTAAATAACTATTGATAAAATCGAAAAATTACCTCTTTAAAGTACCATCTTGATACAATTTGCTAAAAGATATGGTACTATATGTTGAAATTGGAGCACTCCTTCTGGTAGAAATTTTGAATACAGGATATAAAAAGAAGAAAAAAAAATAAACACTATTGTAAAACCCTTTAGCTTCCTCGCTCCGCTCAGAATCTAAAACTATGCATTGTTAAAATTAAAAAAAAAAAAAAAACTATAATTTAATTTGATGATTCAGACAATTTCTATTGCATGTGGCACTCAACTCGTAGACTAAAGTTATGTATTGGACAAAATAATTTATTTTTATTTTAGGAATACGATAACAGATTATATTTATTCATAGAAGTAATGGGAAAATATTGGGAAAAATTGGTTTCATTTAAAATTTCAGGAAAAAATGGTTTTGACAAAAAAACTGCTTTTTTTCCTAAAAATTTAAAAAATTTCATGAAAAAATGATTTTTTTTTCTAAAGAATTAAAAAAGTAATGAATTGTGGAAACAATTTAATAAAAAATGATAGTTGATAAACATATTACATACATATTATATTTACGATGTACCATAATTAACTTAAAGTCTGTCCATGGATAAATCTAGAGGATTCTATACTATTTTATAAATAATTATAATTTGTAATATTAACTACTAAAATACTAACTAGTAACTATTATCCTATTTACTATGTAGTTATTTCTTATTTGTTATTACTTATTAATATTATTTACTCTGGATCTGCGAAAAAACGGTTTTTTCCGAAGTTTTCCCTAATTTTTCCGGAATTTTGATCCCTAGAAAATATTACTTACAAGTTACAACAGTCAAATTTCATTAGGAATTATGAGTAGGTTCTTTCAGTCGTTCTAATAAGCATTTGATTAAATACATAAAATGCTTACCTATACTAAATTTGGCCTATATGCTTCTTCTGGATACTGTTGTTAAATTCATACGAATTAATTTACAGCACCATTGGCACGTTGGAAAATATTTTAGTGAAATATAATAATATTGGTTATTGTTTAGTTAATAAATGATAATGATCAATATTTGATAAAGTTTTATACGTTGATTATTCAACTACTATCTAATTACCATTTACCTATTGACCATATTTACCTATTTACCTATTTTACCAATTACTATTTACCATTTATATATTTACCATCTACTATCAATTTTGTTGAAAACTAAAAAGTATGATATTATCGATGTAAATCATAATCGATGCATTGTATTGTTGAAGTAGGTATGATAATATTTTATTTTGAATCGTATTCGGCAATGATTTAGTTGGAACATCAAATGTACATTCTGTATACAAAACCAATTACTTACAATTATTATTTTTACACACTCACATAACATATAGTCATATTCGTAACGGCTCACACGTAACCCATCGTTGTTGAGTAGTATTACAATTATATTATATTATCTTGGGTCTTTAGACCTCATTATAATAATTTCCACAACGCCAGTTAAATGCTGTATTCAAATTCATGTACTGGTAACTGGCCCACTTTTAAGCGATTATAATTTTTTTCATTCGTGACTGAACTTCAACTTAATTTTTTTTTTTGTGTATTGCTTACACGCCATTGTACCTTATGTTTGATAACATATAAATATTATAATCAAGTGTTTTGGGTTTTATTTCTAACTGAGTTAATTAATATTAACTGTTATAATTAATATTTAAACGTTTACTGACATTGTTTTATAATGATAATATTGTTTGTTTCTAATAACGTTCATCGCGACCTTTGAACAATTTACATTCCAGTTTTGAATTTATTATATCGAATATAATAAAGATAATAAAATATTTATAGATTTAATGAACAGATTGACCATACTATGAAACCAGATTTCTCATTTATTAGTTTAAAAAAATGCCATTAAATATTCTGGTCCTGCAGTTAATGAGTTATATGAATAGATATAATAGGTATAACCTTCCAATCCAATTAAAATATTTTTTTTAAGCCCACTGATCCGGGTCGGGACTACTTCGCCAACTTTTAAGTAGTATTCAACAACTAATTTTAAATGTTTAAATAGGCAGATTACGGTTAACACTTAAATGATCAATAATTCACAAAGTAAATTAGGATGGTAAAACATATTCTGAAATGTTTTTTTTTTTTTTTTTAAATAAAATAATATAGTTATATACCTATTTGTCATGTATTTTTCTTTTCTTTAAAACATTAAAGTAATAAATATATATATTTCGTACATATTAATATATTATGTATGTGTAAACATAATATAAAACCACATGATAATATATTATATATTAAAATAGATATTTTTTTTTTTAGATATTTTACAGTTGTTTATTTATTTTAAGTGGAAAAGTCAAATATCATTAAAGAAAAACTGATTTATTGAAGAATAAAATTGAAAAGAGGTGAACACAAAATAAAAAATCCTTCCTTGGATTATGTTCCATCCCTCTTACTTGTGCTGATGGTAAAATACGAACGAGAAAAAAAAATAATTGTTGCTTTTCATTTGAATGCTTGAAATAAAACTGAACGACCGTCTTCTAGAAAATATCAAAATAGTGTTCTACCACAATTTTTGTAAAAATATCAACATTTGAAACTTATAAATAAATAGTACCATCTTTAATTATTGTAAATTATTTATCACATACATTTTACAATTCAGTATCTCTACAATAACATTAGTGTTATGCGAGTTATGGCATAGTCATATTCAAACATTGACTGTTTTTAAAACAATGATAATTTGGTTAACTTTTAAATTTTTATGTACCTAATATTTTCATAAATCTTATACATGTTAAAAAAATAATAAGATGAATTATATTATTTGTATGATATTCTCCGTACGTTGATAAAAATAAAGGGTTTCGAATAAGGATTATTTAAAAACAGGTACAAGTTGTTATGTTTGACAAAATATTGTAAATTAATTTATTAACAAACTACTAAAATTATGCAATATTTAAAAGTTACAATAAATCACGATCTATGGGAATGTCGTCGTCCATTGATACGACTGGAGGAGAGTTTTTAGTATACTCTAATAACGCTTTGTAGTTGATCAACGCTTGGCGGTATTTAAGCAACTTATTTTCAAAGAAGTTTAGAGCTTTGTCGAAAATTTCTTTCTTTTCATTTATTTCCATATTGAGGCCTGGCTGGTTTTTGTATAAAGTATGGTAATTGTAGGCACTTCTAGCAGCGGCAATTATATTGGCTAAAGCTTGATTCATAGTGTATACACTTTTCTTGAATTCATTGAAGCATGGATTATCTTCTGGATAGTTGGGCATATATGGCATGCTCAATGATAATGTGGGTGGCACCGGTGGCTGGTAGAGACTAGCGCGGACACAAGTCGCAATCTGCGAAATAAAATAATTAAATGTTTTAGTATTTGGTTATTGATTGGAAATGTAAACACTACTATACAGTATACAACAATAATATAATATATTTTAATTTTTCAATTGAACCTTTGAAAAATGTATCTTTTATATTAATTTTCGTAAACAAAATTATACATTAAAAATCGTATTATTATTTTTTTAAATATACATAATAATATCAATATATTATACTATACATGTTGAGGGTGCAGAGTTTATTTTAGATGTTCACGTGAATGTGAACATTTTAAATATTTCAATTTTACAATTTATACTATGAAAACAAATAACTGACTAGGTATATTAAATTATCGTCCTTACATATTATAAAATATAATAGTAAGAACGTTAAATGATTTAATATAATATTATAAGTTATTTCGTGAACGATAGTTATTATTAAAATATACGTACCAGAACGACAGCAAAAACTGAAATTTTAACCGTCATTTTGATTGTTTGTAACAGTGTTATTTACTGCTGACAATACAGAATTCCAAAATTGATGTCTAGCGCAGAGACTATGGGTTTTATACGATTTTTCAAACAGCGTCATTTCGATCATGTTATTTCAGGTGTTTTCCGACGTGATTGTTACCTGTCATCTGCAGTACAGTATAACAAAACAAATATGGATTATGTTACTCATTTTAAACCACTGTACAGGTCGTATTTGGAATACCTCCGTAGAACCGAGAGCAAACATGTTATTAAAACTATGACAGTCAAACATTACAGTGAATGGATACAGTCAAGATGACCTGATGACGTTACAATGGGATTCTTTATTTATTTATCAAAAACAATTTCATACACTTGCAATACGTTATGACGTTGGCAATTTTCGACCCTGTACATATTTAATACAATAAATGGTTCAAATGCGGTTTGACTTAGATGACTTTGAATTTCCGTGAAATGTAAATACATTTTGTTATTGGTATCAACATAATAATATGTACTCTTTTAAATAAACACACGTATTATTCTATGGGATTTATCACACAATTTTTGCGTAGAAGTAATAATGGTTATTGATTTGATAGCTCGAATGTTTAACGTCAATAATAGTTATATCAATTAACTCCTGAATATATGAACCAAAAAAAAAAAAAAACTAAGAAATTTAATAATTATAATAATTCTAAAAATAAAAATTATTTCGATAAATTTTTATTGATATTGTAATACTTACCTAGTCACCTATTAAATTATTATCTTTAAATTAATATTGTATTCATTTAATAACGTAACATACCAATAGATATAATAATAATATGTCATTACAAGTTGTGTATTAAAATATTACAATGTGTATCGACAGTATTATTACAGTCATCAAAATATTTTCTAAGTTCGAAGTGGAACGATAAATGCATTAGATTTAAAATGTCATGTGATTTTTTTTTCTGTAATAACGTTTTAAAACAGAAACTATACTACATGAGGTTTCTGGCAGAAAATAAGATCTATTTCATAATTTACGGAATTATTACTAGGTGCTTAGTAAATTTCTAAGTAGTTTGAGAGAACAGGAATATTTTAGCATTACACTCCATTTTAATTTTTGTGATCGCATTTCAGAAAATAATAGCCATAAGGATTTGCAATTATTACGATCACTAAATATTGAAATTTAAAGTATTTTTTAAAAATCTTATAATTTTCAAAATATTTCGGCTCTTTTTTAGACATTCTATTGTCTATGTTAATATATATTTATTTTATTTTACATTGATATTATAACTAATAAACTAAATAAGCCAAAATGTATAAGCAAGTAGAACCTTAAATTACCTTTACGATGAGCGTGAATAATTCAAAAATAATTTACCATCTCAATATAAAAGTTATAAGATTGGGTGACCCGATTCACTCTCTTACCTCCTTTTGAAGTATGGACTTCAACATTTTCCATATCAGGTAAAGTGTACAGTTATTGTCACCCTTTAGAAAAGTGTTTGTTTGTTTCCGTGATATTTCAGACTTAAACATAGTTAAAACTTCTATTATAATTTTCAATGATTAAACAAATTGTTATCAATCTTACATTATGATCATCTATATATATAAAAATGAATGTATGTCAGTGTGTCAGTGTGTCTGTGTGTCTGTGTGTCCATGTTACCATGGTTACCAAGGTTGCCATGGTTACTAAGGTTACCAAGATTTCATATCAATCTATATATATAAAAATGAATGTATGTCAGTGTGTGTGTGTGTGTGTGTGTGTGGGTCCATATTACCATGGCAACCATATCTGTATATAAAAAACAGTAAGCTGATTGACTGCTATCAACGCACAGCTCAAACCATTGGACGGATCTGGCTGAAATTTGGCATACAGATAGCTATTATAATATAGACGTGCGCTAAGAAAGGATTTGCCAAAATTCTCATTTTAAATAGGTGCTGAAACAGGGACATTGAGATTCACGATAGAAATTGGAAATTTTATTTTTATTTATTTATAGTTGCCATTGGTTACAGTCTACATTAGAAATTAGCATTTATTTATTGGTTGCCATTGGTTATTCGGGCAGATCAGGTACAAGCTTGCATCAAATCGAATTATTGAACAATGCTTACCAGGGTGGCAGAGTTGCACTTACCGCAGAAAATTACACCCAAAAGGAGTTCAACAATCATAATTTTTTTAAGAGTTGCGATTTTTTACGAGCAACCAAATTTATTATATTAATCCACAGTATTACATCAAAATAAACTTGGTATAACTTTGATACTTTAGAGTTAAATCATACACTTCCGTACAAACAGCACGGGGTCCGCGATCTACCGCAGGTAGATTGCCTACCTGATAATGTACTGCCGCGATTCAGAATTTTTATTCAGGGCAACGGGAAAGATAAGATAAATTTTGAACACCATACACGTTAATGAATTGAACAAAGTTTGAGTAGGTAGTATTGAGTTGATCCATTTAACGGGCGACGAAGTGCACGGGATCAGCTAGTTATATATAAATATTAAATGCTTTTTTTTTTTATTTACCATCAAGTATAAAATAACCGAAAATTATAGTTATTGGCACCTAAAATTGTGTTATTGGTTTTATAACTTCTGTTATTGGCATCCTCTTAAATTATATATATAATTTAATTTAATAGTTTTACCGATTAATTTGGTTAAATTAATAAACTAAACTACCTATTTTTACTATTTTGTAGATAGATAGTAGCTACTACTTAGGTATAATTAATAATAATTAAAAAACACATATATAAGCACCAAACAAAGTTTAAACTACACCTAACTGTAGAAAAATATACATATTTAGTTTATAATTCTTAATAAAATAACTAATGAACATATTTATTTTATTTTAAAGATATTTTATAATTTATTATTTAACTACCTACCTATATGCTTCACTTAGGTAACTCATTCTAAAATTCATAACATTTTATTTAAGGGGCCTGCACGCGACCTGTTTTTTTGCTCAAAAACATGCCTTACAGGAAAAACTCTCACGCCTCGTAGATTGGTCCGATTTCCGTAATTTTTTTTTTGTTAGATAGAGGAAGACTTCTTACAGGGCGCATTGGACTTGGATTTTCAACATTATTTTTCTAAATCTTATGTTACAAGTTTGAATTTAATCAATTTTTACAACTTTTTAGTTTTTGTATTATTTTTTGTTTTTAGCGACGTAATCAAAAATCGAAGTCCAATGCGCCCTGTAAAAAATATTCCTCTATCTAACAAAAAAAAAAATTACGGAAATCCGACCAATCTACGAGGTGTGAGAGTTTTTCCTGTAAACTGTGTTTTGACCGATATAATACACCCTATCAACCCCCCCTAAATAGGTATTGGGTAGTAGATTAGTGGAAAAGTCTTATAATTGAGGTGGCAACTAAAATTTAAAATTTAATTTTCAAATTTTATAGAATTGCGGAAAATTTGAAAAATCGCGAGCAGGCCCCTTAACCACAATATATAGTACTGTATTGTGGTTAGGAGTCAAATAGATGCAAATTATAAAAAAACTAAAATTAGTAGGTACATCTAGCAGCAACAATAATTATACTAAGCAACTTTAATAGGCAGGTACCTATTATAATGTAGGAACCTAATAATTTAGTTAAAGTATTTGATTATAATAAGAAGAAATAATAAAATACATTTCAAAGTTTAAAATATTTATTTGGTTATAATATTAAAACAGTCTTAGTTTTATCACTCTTTTTAATCTTAAGATTTTCTCAAATTTAGTAATTAAATAAAACACAATTAAATTATTTAAGTTTCACCCTTAACAAAATTTAAAAATATTAACAATATAGAACTTAATAAACTAAAAACAATAACATGATTTAATTTGCAAAGCAAAATTTAAAAATATTAAAAATTTAGAACTCAATAAATTTAAAAATCCTGACAGATATATTTGGATGACGCTTCATGAAAGATTTGTACCATCCAATACCTATAAAAAAAATAATAAATGGTTATAATAACATAAAAATTTATTTAAAGTAACAAAATTACCAGGATAATTATTTTTAAAAATAGTAGTTCGCTCGTTTTTGTCTAGATATTGTTTCACACTAACTAAAAGATCATCTTTTCTTTGAGGAAATCCTTTCCGACTACTTTCCAGTATCCATTTTTCTAATGTTTTTTCTTCTTCCTCAGATAATACAAGAGCTGGTCCACATGATACTTTTTGGTCAGGATTTTTAAGTCTGTATTGTAATGTAGATCTCCATACAGAAAACTTTTTTGCTGCGGACTTTTTCAACAGTAGCAGTCAAATTTGACTGAGAAAAATTTTCTCTTTTTTTGGCATTTCTATAAATATCAATAATACATCATTATTTAAGAATAAGTAATATTTAATGACCAGTTAAGTTAAATTTTACTCAGGTTCTATACTTTGTAAAGTAAGTGCCAATAAATAAATTAATACATTTTATGTCAATTTCAATAATGCGCACCCTATGCCAATAACAAAAAATTCAAATATGTGCATATCAGTTATTGGCATACCAATTTTTCTCAAAAATAATAAAAATAAATTATTGAATATTGTATTGATTGATGAAAAATGTTCTTAAGAACTAAAATATACATTATTCTATTACTTAGAGTACCTAGTTATAACTAAATTAAGAGCTTATTTCCTAAGTATAGTCTACTAATAAAAACAGTAAATTCTTACCAAATATTCGAGATCTCTGAGACTACTGAAAACTTTGATAATAACTAAATTAACGATAAATTATTATCGTCGGGAACACGTCTTGAATACACGACATGATCAGTTTAGCCAGATATAATATAAAAAAAAAATCATTTAAGAGTCAAAATGCTGACTAATTAAAAATAAAACACTTTCGTAGTGCCAATAACTATAGCAGTGCCAATAATTGTACACCCTCTTTTATTCCTATCGCAGCTTCTACCAATGATCTCCATCATTTACG